AAGTTATAATAAAACTGTAGTTTACAATATTTTTTTATTTTGCTGCCTTCATGACGTACCTACCTACTTTCTGCAGAATATGACACAAATTCTTATTTCAAAATATTAATTTTCTCAGGGACAAGAAAAATAATGTGGCAAGACAAAATAATTTCAAAACCTGTATACTCTTCTCTTTTTATAATGCATATACTTCAGGCCTGCAATTTTTTGTTGTTTGTCGTTACACACGTGCCTACACAAAAAAAATATGACACGCCCCTAATTATTGATGCCTCCCAAAATTCCTATTAATAGACCACCGGCTCGCCCCTTTAAAAGTAGTATGCCTTTTAGGTTCGAAACCTTTATCTTGCGTCGAGTGTACATGAAATATGTCTAGAATTTTCTGAAGAATCCAAAAATTTAGGGATTTATTTTTTATATTATTTTAATATGTTTTATTCCAGTATTTTCAAATACCTAATTAAATTGAAGACTTGAATTACATTACGAATGAATAATTTCAGACAGTATCTGAAACTCTTCCTTTCTATTTCAGCATTTCCTCTTGAGCATCCCCGCAAAGTGAGAAAATGCACCGCAAGCACATCCACCAACTGTCGACGCGTCAAGGCGCCGAGTAAAATGATCACGATCAACAACGCGACAGCATTCAAATTGTACGTACGCAAACTCCTCCGGAACGCCACATTCAACGTCTCCGACGCCGAGATCAAGAGGATCATGGACTACAACAACATCACCGACGAGGCCGACGCCCCCTCCGAGTCCAGCTGCGGGGGCGCCAATCTGGAAAACCTGGTGGCCACCTACGCCGAGTACTACCACCCCTACCTCTCAATTTCCGTGTGCGTGTTCGGTACCGTCGCTAACATACTGAACATTGTGGTGTTGACCAGAAAGGACATGGTCAGTGCCCCCATAAACAGGATCCTGACCGCCTTGGCGGTTGCCGATATGTTGCTGATGATCGAGTACATTCCCTTCGCGTATTACTACCACTTGGAGTTGCTGGGCAAGAGGGACTTCCCCTACTACGGGGCTGTGTTTATGCTGATGCACACCCACGTGACGCAGATCTTGCATACTATTTCTGTCTGTTTAACGCTGACCTTGGCGGTGTGGAGGTACCTGGCTATTGGGTAAGTTGTGGTAAAGTAAAAAGGGAAAAAGTACGTTTTTTGACGAATGCAAATGTGTAAACAAAAAAGACTCGTAAGAAAACAAGTTTCATTGAAAAAAAGGATATTGATTGTAACTTTTCAACCTCAAAGTGTCCTAAAGTAACCCTGATAATTTCAAAAATTTCAAATTCAAAAATTTGTCGTTTTTGCTGAAAATCAGTTACAAGTAATTTTTCACTTTTTATACATTTTATACATTTTTTAAGTTAAAAATGTTTTTTTTTAACAGTAATCCATATTTGCTTCATCAAAAAACGTTTATTATTCTTAAAATAATGAAAATAAAATTTTTTTCAATAATTATTTTTACAAATTTTTTTCAACATATCCACAAGCTTCACAAACGTCAAAAAAATTTGGTTGATTTGACGTTGCAGATCACAATTTAATATCGCTTATTGCCGCCCCTGTTCGTGATCACCGATTTTAATAGTCCAATTAACTAAGCCTTTAAATCGAAATTTTGTCAACTTGGCTGAATTTTTGATATGAGTTAGTTTAAGGTATATTATAACAATAAGTGAGAGTAATTTTTTGTTCAACCCCCGGCCAAGGGTGGAAAAAGATAAAACAAAGGGCTTTTTCAAGATAACTCAAAAAGGGTAAGAGCTAGAAAAAAAAGTTTTTCATGAAAGTTGTAAAGCAGACAATTCTACATAAAAATGGCCTCTTAACTTTTTCTTGTACTATTACAATTAACAGAGTTAGGGAGGCTAGAAGTTAAGGGAAGATTTCAGAAATTTAAAAAAAATCATAACAAACAGAAAAATGATTGAATTTTGTAATTTTTTTTTTCAATCTGCTCTAAAATATGTAACTTTTCTTTTCAGAGAAATAGATATATTTTTTAATTTTTAATAAGAAAGTTATAACAAAAAATCAAATTTTTAATCGTTAATTTTAATGATTTAACAAAATTAAATTTCTGAAATCTTCCCTTAACTTCTAGCCTCCCTAACTCTGTTAATTTTAATAGTACAAGAAAAAGCTAAGAGACCATTTTTATGTAGAATTGTCTGCTTTACAACTTTCATGAAAAACTTTTTTTTCTAGCTCTTACCCTTTTTGAGTTATCTTGAAAAAGCCCTTTGTTTTATCTTTTTCCACCCTTGGCCGGGGGTTGAACAAAAAATTACTCTCACTTATTGTTATAATATACCTTAAACTAACTCATATCAAAAATTCAGCCAAGTTGGCAAAATTTCGATTTAAAGGCTTAGTTAATTGGACTATTAAGTAGTCTCGCATATGAATGCATCGCCAGATGTATCGTTGCGTAATTCCTTGCTAAGTTTGTAAAAGAGCCTGGGTCAATTAATGGTGATTTTATAATTGCGGATAGTTTCGTCGCCATCGACGCCCGAGCATGTCCTAAACATGCGCGATGAGGTTCAAGTCGTGACTTATAGGTGGCTGGTTGAGAGTTACCACGTTGTTGGCGTGAAGAAAATTTTTCGTACGTTTTGCGGTATGAAGACGAGCATTATCTTGCATGCGATTGAAACGATTCCCTAGGACGCGTGGTTCAAGGTCAGAAAAATATTTTTTTGCGCACACTAACGTGATTTTTTACGATTTTTTGCTATTTTTGATGATTTTTCGCTTTTATCTTTGCAAAATCTGGGGTGGGAGGGGAATTCAGCTTAAGGAACTTGGATACAGTACATCAAAATACGTGAGAACCCTACAAGAACAAATTTTTTCGAATTTTTTTGCGCTCACTAGGTGATTTTGGGCGATTTTTCAGTATCTTTTGCCAATTACTCAAAATTTTGGGGTATTAAGGTTAAACGGACTTCGGATTTGGTAATATAGAAATTTTTTCTAAAAATTTGGGTTTACAGTAAATCGTATGAAAATAATGCACTTTCTTTTTTGCTTTAAGATAAAATGTAACCTATTTTAATTAAATAATAATACATACTGTCAATCAATAACAATGTTGTCAAGACATTACCAACTGTCACTGTCACGACCTACCATATAATGTCCATGAGTAATTAGACCTCTCAAGGCCTAATTAGTGAGATTTCGTTACATTACCTATACGCATTTTGGACCGTATCAATGTCCGATCTGTCGAAGTATATTATAACTAAATCTGAAAATCCTTACGTAATTGAAGAAAAGGCAGTAATGCCTCAAAGATGTCTAACAATTACAAGATGTATTATTTTCTTAATAAAAAACCTTCTTTTCGTTTTTTAAAAGTATCTTGCTTATTGTTAGTTAGAGATGGACCCAACAAACCCTATATGGCTATGCTCTACAGGGAACGTTCTATCCAAGTATGTAAAAATATACAGGGTGTTCCATTTAACTTAACAAAGTTAACATCCGCGGCCATTTTGTTTGGACTTCATTTGTTTTTCTACTATCATTTTTTAAAAATTCATAAGAAATCGTGCAGCTTTTATATTTAACATTTTTTTATAATTCTTAAAACAAAAAAGTTAAAGGGGGGGTCAAAATATAGTGAATCACCCTGTACATCAAGTTAAAACAGACATCTGAGACTATCTAAGAACTGCCTATGAAAGAAGTGTGTTTATTTTTAGAGCATCTAAAGTTTGCCCGATATAAAAATACATTCAATATCTGTTTAAACTAATCTATCATAGATTAAAATTCTACATCATTGAGAAAATACAAAAATTCAGGGAAAACAAATAATTTATAGAAATAGTATTAAACTAATATAACTTTTGGCTGCAGCCTCGTCTACATAAAATGTAGCACCGACGCAAGGTTATGAGTGTAAAAAGTATTTAAGTACATGTCTCAAGACTATTAAATTAAATTAAATTAAATTAAATTAAATTAGTCAAATTCTTAAACCTTTTTATATAATCAAACGTTATATATTTAATTTATGCAAACACTTATACATTTTACACCATTTATTGTCAGAAAATACCCTGCACAAAGTGAGTTTCAGAGTTTCCTCTTAAGAAGAAGTGCCTCTCGAAACGCTGTGAACTTTGAACCGACGAAGTGGCAGCCCGTGCAAAAGTTGTTTAACCTTACAGAGAATCAATAAACATTTAGTCTAAAATATGTCGTTCTGGCGGACATGTCGCAGAAAATATTCAAAGACAAATGTCTAAATATTTTATATACTTTTTATTTATTCTGTTATTCGGATTGGCATTATTTTTGTTAAATAGCTCATTCAGTTAGTTATTTCTTAATAGTATTAATTTATCAATATTTCCCAATTAATTGAAATTCTTTTCTAGAAGTTTTCTAGAAGAAGTTTCTATCGGAAAACAAAAAAAAAACTCATCATTATACATTTTCAGCAATGCAAGATCTAAGAATGTAGTCAAATTTGGCAGGACTCTTTTTTCCAAAGTAAACATACGAAAATGAGTTGAATCACTAAGTACTAACAAAAAAATAAACGTTCACGTAAACGGCTGTAGACTGGAAACTTTACAAACAAATTTTTTGCTAAAAATATCGTATTTAATCTGCTAGAACTGAATGAGAACATGAACGTCAAAGTAACGTTTATTGACACATTAAGCTTCAGTTGACTAGACATTGAAATATCCTGCTGATACACGTTATTTTTAACTAATATTTTGGTGGTATTTTACGGTTTTTCAGCACTACAATAACTCCCATTTGAAATTTCTATATAACAATTTCAAGGCTTTACATCAAGTTGTATTTAGTTAGTTATATATTTTCTTTCCTATTAAAAATTCAAACATAATTATTCCCAGTGAAGTATAAAAGCGCATGTCAAAATGTATAGTTTCAAATTTATACAATTATGTTTATACGACGATATTAATGTATTATTTTCTTTTACAATTTGATAATTTATTCAAAACCATATCAAAGTAGGCGTAACATCTGCGCCTTCGCCATTTTATAGAAAATCTCAAATTGTTATTTTCACTGATGTTCCTATTTTTTTCTTGTAATAGGTATGTTGAAGAAGCTAAATTTTAAAAATGTACCTATCAGGGCTTATTTTTTTATTTCAGAGACACGTTGAAGCATGGAAATCTTTATTTAGTTAGTTATTTCCCTGTTGCATTTTGTATTACTTATTTTTTGAAATAATAATAAATAATCAATTCAAGCAAAATAGCTAGCGGGTATTTAGATACAAAAATATTAACAGATATATTTCAACTTAACCAACGCAACGATGATATTTTATATATAGATTACATATATTTATCTATAACAGTAAACTAATATATTCTGTATCAGCATTGTATTTCAGACCAAATAAAAATATGCCGCGATAATGAGCTGATCAAAAACAGCTACCATACTTTTCATAACATTTAGACAAACACGAACACTGCATTTTCCGTAACAAAACAAACATGATTTCATTTTTAATGAGAGGTATTTGTTATTAATTTAATTTCATTAATTGTAATACAATATACAAATTTATATTAATAACACTATGTATAGTGCGTTTTCACACTTAATTATATAAATTTCTCTTCTGGTCGAGAAAATAAAGGATTTTTCCGGCCCAAATGAATAAGTTTCATTTGTTCGAAAATCCTTAATTTTATGAGTGCAAGTTAGTTACGTCAATTTTTGTTTTAATCCCAAAAAGAACATAAAAATACACAACTCCATTCAACCGGCGAGAAATAGGTCAATAAATAAAAATAAATTACCGACGATGTGTTGCAGTAAATATAAGACGAGCGGCAAACAGAAATAAGAGCACCGCATTAATTTTTACGACTCCGCTCGAGCTAAATGGACATTTTAACGGCGAAAAGGTTGCATAAAAATGAAATAAACTCCAAATTTGTTATCTCCAATATCCGCTGTGTCTCTTGGGGCTGATACACAGGATATAACACGCGCTGATAGGCAGTTTACTACGTAAGGGTTTATTGATATGGAAATGAGGAATATACTAGGTGTCTCAAAAGTAAAACTAGGGTACCTTCATCAGTTAAGATCGTACT